CAGGAATAGTGAGTAATGCTTTTCACTGCAAATAAGACTTGTATGCTAAATTGCAAGTTACTGCTTTTCTTCCATAAGCAATTTTATGATTCCATTACTATTATATGGAAAAAAACCCCCAAATGAGTGGAGATATTTGTGCATCAATTTTTTTTCTTAACTTTTTTGCTTCTCTGTTAACATGAAGTAAGCTGGTCACAGACACGTGGTGTGTTCCCAGGGAGGTTCTCATGAAGCAACTGGGTTTGAACATTGTGCCAAGACTTGTCGATTTTCAAGTTTCCCTAGGTCTTAGAAGTTCTAGCAAAAGTCTTTTACCTGTTAAGATTTACACTACACTCAGGTGTGAAAGAAGTGCTAGAATTGTGAGATCCTGCTTTCTTCTTTCTCTGAGGCATCCTGTTGAGAGGCATCTTTTCTATAGATCGACCTTCTTAGCTCTTGTGTAGTGTTACCCACCGGGATGGGTAAATATGACATGACTTTTGAAATACGTAAAGCACAAACACTACTTTTAGAAACCTCTTCTTATCACAACTACCTCATATACTTTTGTGATAACTAATAAACTGTGTGCAATTTAATCTCTCAGAAGTCTAATAACTCATAATTTGTTTAGATTTTGATTAGGATCTTTTTATTTCTTAAGAATCCTTTTTTAATTCTCCTTTTGGGTGTATTCTTCTCTTTGTAGTGGTGAATTTTGTGAGTTCTGAATAATCATGAGTTGTTCAAACGCAAATGTCGACGGGTTTTTCCCACAAAGTCACTGTTAAGTTGCTGACATCAGTTTAATGGTTTATTGCTGCTGAAATGAGGTGCTGCAATCACTCCTCTCCATCTCTGCTATATGCTGGGCTTCCAGCAACCATATATTTAGCCAGTTTCATTTACTCAGCAGAAGACTGTTTGCTTTAGCAACCTGGTAAGTGAGCTGGGTTGGCTCAGTGAAGAACCTGTTAACAGCAGAGCTGGTGCAAGAGCTGTGACAGAGCCACAACGCGCAGCTGCGACTGGCTAGGGAGTGAGGTAGCAGGACCTCCTCCCACCCTCTGGTAAGCTCTTAGATCAGTTAAGTCCTAAAGTGCAATTTCTCCAAGTAGGTCACCTTTAATAATAGATGATAACATTGGCTTCCTGGTGGCTCTCCCCACCTTGTTCTAGAATGGTTCTTTTTGAAGGAGAAACTGTAGAATCATAGAGGAGTTTAGGTCAGAAGGGACCTCTGGATGTCATCTGGTTCAGTTCCGGCACAAATCAGGGCTAACTTCAAAGTCGTCGTGAGCATTAATGTCGCTGTTGCTGTGGCATCTCCAGTGGTCTATGTCTAAAAGTGTCTGAACTGTCATTTTTCTGAGGCATTCAGTGGCACTGGCCATTTTATAAAATTAATCAGAATTAATGAATGTACAAAAAATGTTGGAACTCCTGTGATTTAAATTGATCTTTTTTCTGTCTATAAGTGGTCTAGATTTTTACAAGTATTTTATTACATGTGCCTGATACTTGAAATTAGACCTTTTATTTTTTTTCCATGCAAGGTGAGCATATAGCGTAAAACACTAAGTCCTCCTAAGAGTTATTTTTTAGTATGTGTACATATCACATTACTTTATGTAATAATAGACTGACATAATCCACGCTTATGAATTCTTGAAATGATTTTAAATTTTCTACATAATAAATTTAAAACTTTGTTGGCACAGCATGCGTGCGTGGCTCAACTAGTGAAAAAGCAGCTTATAAATTCTGCAGCATTTAAGGCAATAAAAATGAGTTCCCAACAGTCTTTGAGGGAGCCAACCTTGTTCTTCTTTCAAAAAGGGGAAACCCCCCCTTTTTTTTTAAGGGAGGATTTAGGAAGTTGCAAAGGAATCTGATACCTTCAAAGCTGTTGCCAATTTTACTCTGAGGAGGTTAAACTGCAATGCAGTGCTGTCACTTCCACTTCATGCTACTTTGAGAATTTTTGCTGCTGAGTCGTAGAAAGGATGGGATTTGAAGATGATTGGAAATGTGTAGGCATGTAAGGAAAGAATGAGGGGAGAAGCAGCTACTTGTGAAATACCAGTCTTACCAAGGGGAAAAAAATCAAGAAATATTGAGTGATTCTTATGCTTATTTGCAGGAAAAAGTTAAACCTTCCCCCTACTACCTAAAATCACGAATAGTAGACAAGCATAGTATTCATGATCTCTATTTTGTAAGCGGGCAGGTACTTGAACTTCTTTTGGAATTGGGTTATGTAGCACTGAAATACAAAGTCTGAATTTTGTAGCGATGAAAAATTTTGTCTGGCTAGCTGACTACTCTTGCCAAGCACTAACAGCCATTATAATTCTTTAGATATGTACCATAACTGAAAGCTTTACAAAAAGTAATTGCAAGTCTGTAGTCCCTTTTCCATAGGAAAAATTTTGGCAGAAAGAACGCAGGTAGGTGTGTGTTGTGCCATACTCTGACCCCTCATTGCTGCTCCTGGTGTAAAATGCTGGAGTCGGAGGATTCTCTTGCGTTGTATCACAGCACACGCTCCTGAAAAGCAGAAACAGAAGGATGTTTTAGCATTATCCCAATAAAACTTTGCCTGGAGTGGGGTTGGCTGAATAGATAAATGAAAGATAGAGCAAAAACTTGAGTTAAGGATCCTGACCTAGGTCCTGTCACTGGAGACTGTAGTACATGGGAAGACACTGGCAGTAGTTCTAAGCAAGCTGGCTTTGGTATCATGCGCTAATTCACTTGCGTGAAGCTTTGTTGCCCATGGTAAGGCTTGCTTCTGCAGCCCAATTTTTACCTTATTATATTGTGGTCTATTTACTTCACTTTCCATTCACTTTGAGTCTTTTTGTTTTATTAGATCAGATGGTGTAGTCCAATTGGAAAGCGTGTTAAGAGATTTTAAAATGCAAAAATAATGTGTTTTCCCTGTAGTGTTCCAGCTTTTTGAATTGCAGAAAGGTATTTGTTTAATTAGGTGTAGGATAATCTGCATGAAATGGTAAGGTTGTTTAACTTCATGCCAAGTCTTAAAGATTATGTATATGAAGTGCATGTTTGTACAGAAATCTCACTTCTGGAATCTGTTGTATTTACCTGGATTTTCAGATACGGAGTAACATTTCTAGACATTCTCCTCTTTGAATGGATGTATATAGATGCAGAGTTATGATGAACTCATGATGGTCTCGGCAAACTACATGCAACTGAAATGTTAGGTTTTCAGTATATTTAAACATTCTTACTACTAACTTAATATTAAGTGATTAAAAAAACCCAGTGTTTGTACATGCTTCCTATATGCACATGTGCATATGTTTTTATCCCTTTGACATAGAAAGTAGGAACCAACATCCATGCTTTATCAAATTTGTTATAAAAGTGAACTGCAAAGTTACAAATGCTGTAAAAATGAGCGTTATAGTGGAAACACTGGCTGAATCTTTGTAATAATACTACTTTCCTTGTGCCAATCAAATAAAAAGCAAATTTATTTTGGAATACATTGACACTTCTCTTTCAGAATAAATGAGAAAAATCACACAATCAAACATGGGATGGGTGAAAAATTCCTTTTGTTGCATAAAGATTGATGTTTTTACATAGAATTTACAAATAATTGCTAAAATGCAAATGATAGAACAAGTAAGAGGCTTATCCTTGTTTTTTAAAAATACTCCGCTGTTTTCCTGAGCTACATTAGCCAGTCTGTGTACAGTAGATGGGCCAGATTTCTGTGGAATTCCAATAGACATGAATATTAACAAGAAACCTGTTAAATAGAGGTTCTTAGTCACTTTTGTTTGAATTTCAAGTCCGTCAATTGGCAGGACAAAACACAAAAATGAAAGTGTATTAAAGCCTAACACGGTGTTTTGCATTTTGGTGATTTGTTTGCTTGTTTTTTAAGCATTAATTTTCAGTTTATTATCTTTGGGTTTTTTAAGCATTAGTTTTGAGTTTATTGTCTTAAATTTTTTTTATTTGGTAGAAGTCTAGTCCTTTAAATAGGTCAAGAGCCAGATAGCTGCAAAACGTTTCAAGTTGAAGAGGTAAAATGAATGTAAGAATTGTATTCAAGAGTAATTAGTCTCTTCTTTCCTTTCACAGGGAAATTGCTTTCACTAGGCAACTTCATGAAAAAGCTCCTGATCTCTGTTTTTATTATATGGGTTTCTACATTCATTCATGCCCCAAAATGAGATACAAGGTAAAGTGTGTTTTTACTTGCTTCCTTCGTGTACTATTATTCAAAGCATTTGACAGTGTTCATAGTAATATAATATTTTGTAATTGTCATTTTGGATTTTAATGTAGACTTTATATGGTTAAATTTGAAAGTTGGTTAATATTTAACTTGGCTTAGGATTATTTTTTTCTTTAATTTAGCTGCATGTGGTATTTATTACAAGTTGGCTTAAAAGCAGTTCACATGGAGAGGTTTTCAAGGCTGTCAGATAATAGTTTGTCATTTGGTTACCTGGCTATCTCCTGTTTACAGTATCTCTTCCAGTAGACTAAAATTCTCCCTTTTTTAGGTTTGCATATTTGTGGAACTGTTGCTTAGTGACTATAGGCAGTGATAACATGCCTTCGTGGTCTTGGCTGTACTTGGGTTTTTCTTCTTTGTTTTTTGCTAGAAATAGGGACTTGCTCTACCAATGAAACGAGTGAGAAGCAAAGTTAGCAGCAATTTTGAGCCAGGTAGCTGATTTTTAAGGAAAGGGTCAGGAGAATTAACAGAACGTTTAGAATAACCAGTCTGTCCCCAAACCTCCTCTGTAACCCGTGTTCGTTTCAACTTCGTTTAGACCCGAGTGCCTAAGGGTGTCTTCTGTGTTTTTTAAATCTCATGAATGTGGTATCTTTTCTTTGTATCATTGCTTCTTGAACATTACCATACAATTTCAGAGTGCTGAACATTTACACGTAACCAAATGTAGCTGTTAATAATGTGGGAAGGCACAAAGCTCATGAAATCTAGAGTGAGAGGTACACTGTTTTCTTTTGTTTTCTTTTCCTCCGAAGTGTGCTAAAAATCTGCTGTATTTTCAGCTAGTTTTTAAATAGCCAAAAAATTGTGAGGCTCATTGAAGTGATGTTTGTGAAGAAAAAAAGTTTTCAGCTTTATAGTGGCCTGTGCTACAGATGACCGTGATGACTCAGTCTTCTGAAATAACAAACAACAAATCCCTCCCTCTCCTTCTCTTAGAAGACATTTGTGTGGGTGTGTCCCCCTCCTTCCCCTCTCTTTGCCAAGGTGAGTTTATCATCTACATCTGCTGGCCAAAGAAAGAGAATGTTAAGTTAGAGGGAAGCAAACGGGTGAGTTGGAAAACACTATCTCTGTCATCTAAATAATGTTAAAGGCTATCGTATCCCCAGCTTGAACTATAGCTTCTGATTACTTGCTCTACTCTTGGGAAATATTTAAGACTTTGGGATGATTTGTTCATGTTGAGACGCTGCAATTTAACATCCCTTGTCTATTCTACAACCTACATAGTTCAATGCATTTAGTTCACTAGGGCACTATAGTCAGATTTGTTTCTTTTCTTTAATGGCAAAAAGCATGCATCCCAGTTCCGAAAGATAGCATTGCTAGGGAACTCGGGGCTCAGCCTCTTGTATTAAGTTTTAACAAAAATGTGAACTCTCTATACATGGATTAAACAAAGCTCATATGTAAGTCAGTGTATTAAAGTAGCGAGCAAACTATTAAAATGTGAGGATTAAATGCTGTAAAACTGGGACCTAACTTCAGTAGCCACTATATGTTTATATCATTTATTATAATGTGGTATCTCTTCTGTTGGGCCTGTGCTGTTATTTGAAAATGATTGCCCCAAGAATATAAGATTCTCCTGATGCTTCTAGTTTTCATTCTCAAATAACGGAAATTGAATAAATTGTAGTGGGAGTATTGTATTTTTTTTTTTTTCACCAAAGCTCCTTTTCTTCCCTTGATTGGACTTAATGACTATCAGATATGATTGTGATTTGGTAGAATATGCATTTTAGTCTTCCAGAAACATACACATGTCAGTGTGCTTAGGTAATTAAGTGTGGCCCAGTATGAGAATTGCCAGGGCAGGGGGTGGGGAGAAGAAGAAATCCTATACATACATATTTAGAACACACACAGTAGCAGGTAAGTAATGCTCTGTGTTGGGAGAGTAATAATTTAATAAATGAATTGCAAGAGGGTTTGTTTTATTTTATTTTATATTTCTTTTCCTTTGTATATTTGTTTTAGAACTGGCAGAGTGTAAGGCATTGAAAATCAGGTTGACATTAATTCTGTAGTTCCACTTTACCCTCACTGAAATAGTACACCGGAAGCAAATTTTAAAACTCGGCTTTGAAATGCATCTGCATAATGCTACTACTCTTGTGAAATGATTGGTAGTGGTAAAGTAGGGTGCGTAAGTACTGACTTTGCGGATTAAGTAATTTCAGTAATGCCTGGTTGACTTAGAGGCATTACATCTTGAAGACTTTGCTTTATTCCAGTTTAATAGAAATCTTAGAGGCTTTCTTCACTTAATGATATTAGTGTGGAAGAATGACATGCTATAGGTAAATGTTGTTAAACTGATGTCAGGTAAGCAAATTAAATGAAGGAAAAACAAAAGGAAGGAGCTGAAGAGCTAACACCTCTTTTTTTATTCTCTGCTTGTAATTTTCTTTGCAAGTTATTTGTCCTAGGATGTTTAGAAATGGAGGCTAGGCACAGCATCACTTCTCTATATAAGCAGTGTCTTATGAAGAACGCATGCATGGTATACTTATTTACAGTGAAGTCATAGGATTTTAGAATTTTTTTAAACTTTTCCTTCTTCTAGTCACAGATTGTGAGCAGTGCAAATGCCTAAGCTGACATAAGTATTTGATTTTTGATGGAAATACAGTACTACTGGCTTGTAGTCTGTCTTCCTGCTGATTGAAGAGGGATGGCTGATGAATTGGGATGTGTAAGGAACAGTGACTTTATGATGTTGATTTAAGGAGTTTGACAGTGTTCCACTTTGTATGGAGCAAAACTCAGTCTTCTGTACAAGATGTGGCTGGAGTAATTGGGGATGTGTGCAATGAACTGTTGTACTTGTATTACAATCCAAGGCTGATGCATTGATGTTGTGCACATGAGGGCGTAGTTGGATATTTGGTTTTAAATACACATGACTCCTAGATCGGAGGTATAGATATCCAACAGCAAGCATGAAAGCCTTGTTCTGCATGGTACTTATTTGGAAAGCAAATTGTAGACATCTTTTCTGGATTCTAACTTTTTTGTGGATGTAAAGTAATAGTCAAACATCGGTTTTTAAAGCATTGCCAATAGGTGATTGTATATATCCATGACTGAGCCATATACGGTAACGGCTCCTCCATTCTGCATCGGATCATCTGATGTCGTGTGTTCATGTTGTGTGCTCTAAGGCGATCCAAGGCATTGATAGGATGTTTTGTTGAAGAATTTAATTTTTAATAAGGCTGCTAGTATGCTTGTTCTTCTTTTTCTGCAGTTCTTAAAATGCTATCTGTATCTTTATCCTAGAAAGTTTCTTTGAGCAGTCACCTTCCAATATGGCCAGAACATCACACCAGTTGCCCCCAGCACAACTGCACCGTGCAGCTGCTGAATGTTTTTAGGCGCTGCTGAGCAGGTCAGGGGCTGAACTGGCAGAAATAACGTTATTTCAGCTTTTCATCCAAAGTATTATGTTTCCATGAATGGTACAATTTTGGACATAAATAGCATGTAGTCCAGTAGAAGATCAGTGGCCTGAGTGTCCTGGAAGAGGATCCCCAAGTCAGGACACTCAGGCTAGAGTTGAAGAATGCTGAATTATCAGGCATGAAGCTCAATGGTGAATGAGTATCATCTGCTCTATGGATCAGACATAATTACAGAATTTTTAAAAAATAGAGCTCCCTTTTGACTCTCTGTTCCCTTCCCTTCCACTTCCTGTTGTTCCCAAACAGCTTGCATTTGATTGCAATGTGATTTTAAAACAGTGGAGTACCGGTGAAATTACTTTAGATGGGGGAAGGGAATATTAGGCTGTTTCCTTAGTTCCCAGCTTCTTAGATCTGTGTTCCCATGTATGGGTTAAATATGGTAAAATAAGATCTACATTAAATTGAGACAAAAGGATTTTTGTAGTCCTATTAACTATATTAATATGGAAAAATGCTATGAAAAACCTTAAGCAAGGGCTTTGTTCCATTTTTTCCGGGTAGGTTAGGGTAATAGAAGATTAAAATGGTTCTGTGAAGAAATTCATGACCCTGTGGTAAGAATTTTCAGGCTCTGTCAGATGTGGTAGTTCTTAAGTTGGAAAATAGTCTCCTGGAAAAATTTCCAGGACTCATAAGATGCAAAGTCTTTTTCCTAATGCATTTTGGAGTCTGTGATGAAATTTTAAGTATAAGAAAGTATTTTACTTTAGGATGATGTTGGTGTCAGGGGTGCTTCTCATGTGTTTAAGTACTGTATATGTACTTGTTAATGCTTTTCAGTTAAATATATTTGTTTACAAACATAGTTACAGAATTACAAAAATTGAAGAACCACCTTTAGCAAACAGCCGTATCAGAGAGATGCTTGAGAGGATCTTGGATTTTTTTCCTGTACTGATACTCTGTTTTATCCTGCATCTTTCCAAGTAAGGAATTTTGCGCCATGGCTCTATGTTACCAAATTCACATTTTCCAGTCGCTGCTGAACTCCTTGAGATCCTTTCTGTTCTTTCCATTACAGTTCTTTGATACTGATTTTGAGTCTTGCGGTGGGTGACACTAAATAGATTTTGGGTTTGTGCTTTGGTGTAAATAATAAATGTACTTGCTGCCCTGCATTTGCCATTTAGACCTTTGCCCACCTTAAATCAAGTTCTCCTTGAAGTTTTTGCATTGGGAAGGGGTTGTTGGTGAAGTTTTCTATGTGAGTTTCCTTACTTCTGGGTTTCCTGAGGCTTTTTCAATGTCAGTGTTTGCATGCAAATACTGCAGTTGGAGCACGTATCCTTACTTGTTGTGGTCAGTGATCTGCTTTCCCTGAAGCCGCTCCACTAAGCTTGTAAATAACCATCAGTGTACTTTGCATAACAGATTTCATGTCGTCTTGCTGTGTTATCTCTGTGTACCGTTTTAAGACCATTCTATGATGTGAAGAGGTGTTTTGACTGAAATCTTTATCCAGAC